TTCTAGACCATCGACAGCACGCCTTCCGTCAAGGGTACGGAACGTCAACTTATTTTGCAACATTAGGGGAGGTCCTCAAGAGTGCCAACGATAGCGGTCTCCACACCGAGATCGTCTCGCTGGATATATCGAAGGCCTTCAACAGGACGGGGACGCCCCTCGTCTTAGAGCAGCTTGTCAACTGGGGGCTGTGTGGACCCACGGTCCACTTCATCAAAAATTTCCTGACCGATCGCTCTTTCAGAGTTGCAGTGGGCAACACGAGGTCCCAGCTTTTCCGAGAAGAGAAGGGCGTCCCTCAAGGTTCAGTTATCGCCGTTACCCTCTTCCTTGTGGCCATGAACGGAATTTTCGGAGGACTGCCGAAAAATGTTTACATTTTCGTGTATGCAGACGATGTACTTATCGTAACTACCGGCCCAACAGCAGCACGCAACAGGATCAAGGCCCAGGCAGCAGTCTCCGCTGTAGCCAGGTGGGCCAGCGCGGTAGGTTTCCAGCTTTCGGCCACGAAAAGTGTCAGGTGCCACGTGTGTCCATCCCAGCACCGTGTCAGCGGGCCACCTATTAAAGTTCAAAGCCAGCCAATACCACCGAAGAAGACGGTCCGTATTCTGGGGGTACTTGTTGACCGGTCCCTCAACTTCGAGCAGCACTTTAAGGCGATCAAGAACAACTGCCGCAGTAGGATCAACTTGATCCGCACTATCTCTCGCCCCCACCGGTCTAACAATCGTGATACTCGTTTCCGGGTTGCAAGAGCCGTCATCGATAGTTGCCTACTGTACGGTCTTGAGATGACGTGCATCGCCACCGAAAAGCTCGTGCAGATACTAGCACCAACTTTTAACACCTACGTTCGGATTGTCTCCGGTCTTCTTCCGTCAACGCCCGCCGATGCCGCATGCATCGAAGCGGGTATTCTGCCCTTCCGCCATCGTATAACCGCAGCAATTTCAACGAAAGCCGCTGCCTTTACCGCAATGACCTCCGGAAATGACAGGATCTTTCTCCTCGATGAGGGGAACAGACTTCTCCGCATGACTGCCAATTCGGAGCTCCCCCCAGTAGCCAAGGTACACTGGTACGGAGACAAAAGTTGGCGCATACCTCCACCAAAAATCGATAGTCGGATAAAAAGCAGGTTCAAGGCTGGAGATAACTCTGCAGCGCTGAAGAGAAAATAGCCGAACTGCTAGGCTCGGACTATCCAACCCATGCCCACATATACACAGACGGATCGCTTTCACGAGCCGGGGTCGGAATTGGAGTAGCCGGAATTTCAGCACCGATGAGTAGTAGTCTACCACCACAATGCTCGGTTTTCTCCGCTGAAGCTGCGGCCATCTTTGTTGCCGTTACAACACCCTCGGACCGGCCCATACTGGTGCTATCCGATTCGTACAGCGTGATACAAGCCCTTACATCGGAGACCATGACTCACCCCTGGATACAGGGTATTGTGGAGGCCACACCTCCCAACACGGTGTTTTCCTGGATCTCTGGGCACTGCGGTATCCCAGGCAACAGCGAAGCCGACAACCTGGCAGGGTCTGGACCAGCTGGCCCCCGTTACACCGACGAAGTGCCACTACAGGACATAAAGCGATGGATAGTCAGCAAAATGTGGGAAGCCTGGGAAGCAGAGTGGTGCCAATCCCAATCCCTCTTCATCCGAAGAATCAAAGGAACGACAAGCAAGTGGACGGATATGTCGAAACTACGGGACCATAAGGTGGTTTCTCGTCTTAGGACAGGCCATACAAGGATCTCACATAGTTTTGGTGGGACGCAGTTCCACAGAATGTGCTACGTTTGCGGAACCACTGCATCGGTGGAACACATCCTATGCCTGTGTCCGCAATACCAACAACTAAGGGAGCAGTACGCACTTCCCAACAGCATTAGGGACATACTGGGCGACGAACCTTCCACTTTAGCGACAGTTATTTATTTCCTCAAGGACGCTGGGTTATACAACAACATTTAGGTCCTTTTAACTTTGTTTTGGCTGACGGTACATCTCTACCGGACGGGGGATTACCCCTCCTACGGTGGAGCTCCGATCTCTTTCAAAACCCTACCTAACTTTGATGTACCAGATTGTTTTTTTTCTCGTCGCCTGTATTGTTAGTCTTTTTACTGGAATCTGTTTTAATTGCTTCTGTTTGAGTACATGTGAATTGTAAGCCAACTTCGTAACAAAATTTGCTGGCAGAACCCCCCTCTGGGGCCTCCCATTTTATAGAGATGAACTAGCCAACGGCTAAAAATCTCTCTAATAAAGTTAAAAAAAAAAAAAAACTTTAAAAAATTGATTGACCATGTGGATAAGTACATTGTGGAAAAGTTGAATCTCATGGAAAATGAAAAAGAAAGGAAATCTTCATCTGAAGGTGGGAGAAGAGAAGACGAGTACAAAGGAAAGAGCAGAGAAGAAATTAGGAAAACAGGAGTCGGGGAACAAAACGAGAAAGTGGTAGGTCAAGCAAACAGGAGAAGAAAAGCACACAAGTAGCAACCGAGATAGCTCCCGAGTTTTCAGAAGAAGGCCTCGGTCGGTAGCTGAATGGAGGATGCGATATGACGGAAGCTCAAGCTCAATAAGTTCATCGACGAAGTGGAATTCATGGCCGAAGCAGAGGGGTTGAGTAGACGAATGCTGTTTGGCGAAGCCATCCACCTTTTTGCGGGAGACGCCAGAACGTGGTACATGGAAGGCAAGAGAAATGGAGATTTCCGAAACTTGGGCGAACTAGTTGCTGAGTTGAAGTTGGAGTTTCAACCTCCAGACATGGACTTCCATTATGAGCAACAAGCAGCCCAGCGGAGACAGAAACGTTCGGAGAAGTTTCAGGACTTTTACAACGCTGTTTCGGAGATCTTTCGCTTCATTCGAAGAAAGAAAGTTTGAAATTATCCTTCGGAATCATCGGTCGGACTACAAAAATGTTTTGGTCGTGAAAGGCGTCAGGTCGTTGAAGGCGTTGAAGCAGTGAGCTAGAAAGTTGGACTCGGCAAACATGTGGATGTATAGGAGCAGAGATCAGGACTCAACGTCAAAACCTGCACTGGTGCATGAGGTGCGTGCCAAACCTTTTAAAAGAGCAAACCAGTCAGGAGGTAGAAATTGGAATTCTGCAACACCGACAAACCGACCCAACTGGAAACCACAGCAGGACCAGCCTAGGACATTTGTATCGAGTAATCCTAGTGCAGCCCAGGAGGAAGTTTCAGCAGGACCAAGAAAAGGATCCCTGGAGAAGCAGATTGCGAGTTACAAGGTTCCAGAGAAGATGGCGTGCTTCAACTGTAGAGGAAAATACCACCATCAGAGAAAGCGGTATTTTGTACAGTATGTGGATTCCACGGTTACACGAAGGAAAACTGCCCATACTGCGCAAAAAACGGGCGAGGTTCGACGTAGGAGGTCGTCAAAATCCGTCAAGAAAGCCTCCGACAGTATTCGTATTCACGTGTTCGGATGTCAGCGAGTTGAACGTAAAATTGGAAGGAGATAATCGGCCTTTTGCAGAAGAAGAGGTGTTGGGAGTCAGGTTGGTAGGCCTGTTGGATAGTAGAGCTCAAGTCTCCATTCTGGGGGCAGGGAGCGAAAACTTAATCAGTAAGTTAAAACTGAAGCTGTTCAACACCAAAACGAAGCTCTCAACGGTCGGAGGAAGCAGTTTAGAAGTCAAGGGTTACGTGAATCTTCCGGTAACCTTTGATGGAGAAACCAGGATTCTTACAACCCTAGTAGCCCCTTCCATGAAAAGGAGACTGATACTGGGAATGAACTTCTGGAGGTTATTCAGGATTGAACCCACGATCCAGACGACTCTAGATGAAGCAGAAGTAGCGGAGGCCGAACAGACTGAGATCTCAGAAAGTGAAATGCTGACATCGGAACAAGTGGAGCGCCTGGAAGATGTAAAAATGCAGTTCAAAGTATTTGTAAATGATGAGCAACTGGAAACTACTCCGTTGATTACTCACAAAATGGAGAGTTTTAAGAATGCGGATCCAGTGAGGCTGAATCCATACCCATGGTCACCGGAAGTGCAAAGGAATGTCAACGAGAAGTTGGATAAGTGGATAGCTTCTGATCGTACCTGTCATGAAGAGAAGTGAAGGCGAGGATGGTCAGCAAAAGCTCAAAGAGTTGCCCTACCTTGGGTTTATCTCGTCTGAACAAGGAGTGAGACCCAACCCGGACAAAGTTGAGGCCATTGCCAACTTTGAGAGACCAGCATCAGTTCGATCCTTCAGGCGATTTTTAGGGATGGTCAACTACTACCGTAGATTTATTGATTGCTTTAGTAAGGTAACCGCCCTACTGACGGATTTGTTGAAAAGTAAACCGAAAGTTGTGGCCTGGAACATAGAAGCAGAAAATGCATTCAATATTTTGTAGGGTTATTACTAATGCCTTGAGATCTGGTGTGCCTAAAGACATCCATTTCGATATAAATGTAGATGCATATATACGGAAATTTCGAATCCTAACTTCAAACAAGTTTATTATTCGAATACATTTGGCATGATTTATGGAATTAAATTAACTTCGAAGCGGTTGAAAATTCCATTCACATTCCTACGACGATGATGGTATGACTGCCTAGTGGAAAGTTTCGTTTCCCGCCAACGAAGTTTGTCATAAATTGCCGTCCCGTTTACATCGCCACTAATCGACCCAACTTAATTACCCGACTGCATGCCACCGCTCTGTTGCTGCGGCAAAGAGCAGAATCGCACTATCGCATGTCAAGACCCCCCACCGTACAAAATTAAGAGCAAGGTGAAGAATAACTTTTGCTTTTCATTAACCACCGACGTCCATTTCCACTAACTAACAGGTTGCAACTTTTCCTCAAAAAAAAGACCACAACCGCCCAAATGAACGAGCACAGGAAGGCGGTGCGTGTTCCGTGTCAATTTGTCTCCACCAGTGGAACCGTAACTCTGTTACAAATATTTGTTTTCGGTTTTCCCTTTTGCAGGATCGAGGTGGAAGCCCTGTGCAAGATCTTCCGCAAGCTGGTTACGAATGCCACGCTCAATTCCAAAGCTCTGGCGGCAAACAATGCCGGAGTGATTGCCAAGGCCGGTTCTTCAACCGACGGGATAGATCGGTCGGTGTTCCGCGAGTTGCTGCACAGTACGTTCGACATCGTCACGGAGGAGACGCTGATGGAGCGAATTTTCTGCGCCTGGGAGAAAGGGTACGAAGGATTGCCGATCCGGTTGGAAGGGTGGATTCTGGGGTTGTCGACCTTTTTGAAAGGAACGCAGGCGGAGAAGACGGCTTTCTGCTTTCGAGTTTACGATCTCAACAGCGACGGGTACATAACGAAGGACGAGATGTTTGCCCTGTTGAGAAATTGTCTGATCAAGCAGCCGCAGGATGAGGATCCGGACGAGGGGGTGAAAGATCTGGTGGAGATCGCCCTGAGGAAGCTGGATATGGATAAGGATGGGAAGGTGGGGGATTTTCTATGATTTTGAGGTGATTGAATGAAGTCTTGATTTTCGTTTTAATTGCAGGTCTCCTTCCAAGACTACCAGGAAGCGATCGCCGAGGAACCGCTGCTGTTGGAAGCCTTTGGTCAGTGCCTACCATCGGATCGTGCTACCGTATCGTTCCTGTCGACGTTGCAAGCGTAATATCCTATTTGGTCCCTTAATACTATTTACCATTCTTTTTCCACAACAAAAAGCCATCCCCAAATTCGATGTTCCCTCATGTAAAGCCATCAAATCTAATTTCGCAAACACAATCAATAAGCGCCAGGAGGAATCGATTACGTTCCCCTACTGCGTGCTAGAATCATTCTTCCCTACAGGACAGCGCGCCGCGAACCCGCGAGAAGGTAAATGATTTCAGTGCTTGGAACCTTGGAAGAGAACCGCGCTGTCACCTTCTTCTTCTTCTTCTTTGCAAGCAACAGCAGCGAAGCTTTGCATGTTTTGTCCCAAATATGTGTCACGCTTCCTTGTGCTGTCTTGTCGTTTAAGCCGTTACTACATGAATATGATACACAAAAGCTATAAATATATATATGATTTATGTGTGACTGTTGTACGTGTGTCCTGATAGTGCTTTTGTCTCTTGTCCCGCTGAATGTTTCACGTAATGGCAACCAACACGCCTTTCGCGCATGTTATTCAAATTATTCAATCATCTGCATGCGGTGGCAACATAACAACGATTTTACGGGGGTTGACAGCTAGGACAAGCGGAAAATTGGATCAACAGTTTCGGTTACGTTGGTAGAACTCAGGTGCTGATTTGGGATATTGATTCCACTTGGAATGTATTCATCAATCTGCCGTCTCACCTAAAAGACTTTGCGAGTTGTGACAGTATTTTTCGGATGTTTAAAATATCGATATTCAAAATGGTTTCAAGAGTTCAACGCCTTTAAACGAAAATGGCAGTACAACCTACAACATTCACACTTAGAAATAACTAATTTTACAAGTGACGTAATCCATCTGTGACAAAAAGAATCAGACATAAACCAATATTTCATGTAAAATTAAGTGCTCCGAGACTGAAAAGTTCGTTACTCGGTGAAAAGTACGTTTGATTGAGTTGAATTTCGCGTCTATTATGACTCTATTTTATGTCAAAATTGATGCTCGTATGTCAGTCTCAGAGCACCTAAATTTACATGATTTTTTCTAAGCGTGTTGTATAAAATTTCCTACATACTAAAAAAATAAATGCGGCGTAATCTGTTACAAACGATAAAAATCCGGCATGTAATTTTACAGGTACAGGAATTTAACTGTTTAAAAAATGCAAATTTACATGCTTGTCATGTAAGTATACATGTAAGACATGTAAACTTATATGGTGATCATGTGCATAGGGTAATCGTCTATGTTAAATTATGTAGAATTACACATTATCCCCTGTTAATTTGCATCAGTTTACTTAGGCAAAACGTTTGCATGAAAATGATGGAATTTAACAACACTTTTTTTTCACAGTATTTATAATTATATCATAATTTAAAATCCCGTTGAAAGACCATAAACATACAATTAGAAATAACTAATTTTACATGTGACGGAATCCATCTTTGAACTAAAAGATGAGACGTAAACAAACATGTCATATAATATTAAGTGCTCCAAGACTGAAAAGTTCGTTGCTCTACGAAAAGTACGTTTGATTTAGCTATTTTTCACGTATGTTTTGACTCAAATTTATGTCAAAATTGACGCTCGTATGTGTCACTATCAGAGCAACTAAATTTACATGAATTTTTCTTAGTGCGCAGTTATTAAAAAAAACCGGAATGGCTTGACTACACACTTAGAAAAATTTATGTAAATTTAGGCATCTAATTGAGTCATAATTGACGCGAAATTTTGCTCAATCAAACGTACTTTCGAAATGTTTGTTTTCATCTCATCCTTTATGTCAAAGATGGACTAGGGTGGACTACACTGAACCAAAACATCCGCAATACTTCGAATGATTATTGCATTGCTCGAGCCCTTTAATAATATGCATTCGAATTTCGGATGATTTTCTTATGGTTGAATTCGTCGTCAGATGATGAACATCCATATGACTGTCATCCAAATACAGGATGATTTTCGTTTGAAAATTAGCTATAACACATACGGCACTCAGAGGACAAACATTTAAGAATGGTGTGACATGCAAGTGCTTTTAATTAGATTTATAATTTATTTGATTATCTACAATTCCATACTGAATAGCCATAATAAGCCATTCCATTATGGATACAAAAAATTTTCGTGGTGAAGAAAACCTCCTCCACCACGAATTAGCCAAACATTGGTTTTCATCCTTTACCTTTGTTCGTAACAGCTCTGATACCAATGCATGTGCTTCCACCTTGTTTGTCAGCTCAGATCAGCAAATGACGTTCGATAGAATTATTTACACCATCGTTTTGAATGATTTGCGTTATGGGGCGGAACCAATACCATATGCATTTCCATTTAGCATGACAGTCATTCTGCAGAGAGCATTACGCATTTCAACTGAAGGCCCTATCCCTTCTCTTAACAAGTTTCATCCTGAATTCGAGAGGAAAATCATCTGATTTCAAAACAACCGTCATCCGGTTGCAGCTATCATTCGAAAAAGCGATTTCGGTGTATTGTTTTGAATGGTCTGAGGTTTCATTCGATCAGAGGATGATGTTTGTGTACAGTGTAGGGATGGATTAGGGTGACCAGTCACATAGGAATACTGAGCGAAAACTCAAAACTTGATAACTTCAAAACAATATAACTCAAAATCAAAAAAAAAAACACAATGCTGATTTATTGGTATGTTGTGTAAGAGCCTAAATTTTCAAGGAATAGAATATAAACATGTTGCGCCCTCTGCCTACAAATCATGAAAATCATAAACAAAAAACAAACAAATACAATCAGTATTTTCTATGCGAAATCAAAAGTCATTTTTGAAAAACATAGATTTTTTGGACCACCCGAACATGGAAATGGTCATCCTAATGACAAAATAAGAAAATATGGGTCTAATATTTTGCACTAATAACTTTTTCGAAATTCTTAGAACCTAAATGCCCCTAATTTGGGCCCATACATAAATGCAGCAATCGACTAAATTTTAAATAGCGGCCAAAAATATCCACTAGTACCGTCCCAATGACGTTTTCATCTAGATAAAATTGATTCATAGTAGATTTTTAGCGATGAGCCCAATATTACATCTACAGGCCAACATTAGAGCCATTTCCCCTATGTCGTTTTACTATGGCTGATATAGAAAGCTTAACAACGCCAACATAACCCTAAAAACAAAAAATGAACTACATAAAAAACAAAATGTCTTCTAAATTTTAGATTATTCTGTGACTATACGATAGTCCTGAATGTATAAATGGCTTTATTAACTATTATAGCTTTAGTGTGATAGTTTATCAGCTAGAGAATGGTCTGAAGAGGGTAGGAAAATAGTTCCGCTAGAGTACGGCAGTATGGAAAATTAATAGAAGTTGAAAATGAGCGAAGGGCCATTAATGCGACAGTACTAAATAGTCAAACGCACACTTCTTTACCTAACCCATACAATGCCTAGTGCAGCTCCACTAAAACCCATTCCTTACTCTCTCATCTACACTGTGAAGCGACTACTTCGGGGGGTGGCTGTGCTCATGCACTTGTCATACTCTCAGCGCTAGCTGGTGTTGCTAGATCGCTGCTCTTCTCTCCATTTACACTGCAGCTCCGACATGATCTGCGTGACTGCCCTGCTAACGGCATTCCAAGTGCCCTCCTCTCGACACATTTCAACAACGACATTATACTGTGATGCCTCGAACCTTGGACAAAAGAAGACCACATGCTCCGGCGTTTCATCGACGTTGCCACACTCCGGACAGAGGGGTGACGCTGCGTGTCCGAACCGATGCAGGTATTTCCTGAAGCAGCCGTGGGCAGACAGGAACTGCGTTAGGTGGAAGTTGACTTCTCCGTGTTTTCTGTTCACCCACAAACTTAGATTTTTTTCCCGAGATGAGCACCACCGAGCAGCTTGGCATTTTATTTTGCTGGATCTCAGTGAAAAACTTGCCGAGATTCAGCTAATAAACGGGAATTTTGCCGTGATCTCAGCAAACAAACATAAATTTTGCTGAAACTCGGCAAGTTTTTAAATGAGATCCAGCAAAATAAAATGCCGAACTGCTCGGTGGTGCCCATCTCGGCAAAAAGATCTAAGTGTGCAGGTCGAAAGAATCGGTATTAGTCTATCACCTCTATTTCCGTTTTCGTACGAATCGTTCGTTCGTACGAACGACTCGATTCGAACGAGTTCGAAAACGGCATTCTGGTTTTCGTACGAACCCGTTCGAACGCAAGCTTTTTCGAAAATAAACAGTGTTAGTGGTACCAGATGCACTTTGACATTTCTTAACAATTCGAAGCATAGACCGCGCACGAAATTGACATTATTCGGTCAAGTGGACTGTCAAACGATGTCAACAAAACAATAACATTGTTGAAATTTTTTGGTTGAAAATTTGAAAATCTCACTGATTTGAAAAGATAACTTCCTGATGTCTTCTGAGAAGTTGTTAAGCAGAAAGTTGGCCACCTTTTGGGATGATTCAGTTTCCGGTAGGATACAAGTCTGATCCTGTGGATGATCCGGAATATCCGTAAAAGTGGTCAATTCATGAAACTGATCCTAGAACTCAGCGTTTTTTAGAAACCACTCATAAACGTCTTGTCAGAATGAATTCGGAGTTGTGACCGGAATATGGAAACTGGGGACTACAGGATGGTGCACTAAAAGAACCGGAACATTCGTAAAAGTGGTCAATTCATGAAACTGATCCTAGAACTCCACGTTTTTTAGAAACCACTCATAAACGTCTTATCAGAATGAATTCGGAGTTGTGACTGGAATATGGACCCTGCGGACCACGAGATGGTTCACCGGAAGATCCGGAACATCAGAAAAGTGGTCAATTCATGAAACTGATCCTAGAGCTCCGTGGATTTTTCAAACCACTTATAGACGTCTTATCAGAATGTATTCGGAGTTGTGACCTTAATTTGGACTCTGGGGACTACATGATGGTCCACCGGAAGATCCGGAACATCCGCAAAAGTGGTCAATTCATTAAACTGATCCTAGAGCTGTACGGATTTTTCGGAACCACTCATAAACGTCTTGTCGGAATGTATTCTGAGTTGGTTTTCAGAAATAAGAATATGGAGACTACAGAATGGTCCACCGGAAGATCCGGAACATCCCTAAAAGTGCTCAATTCATGAAATTGATCCTTGAGGTCCACGATTTTTTAGGAAGCACTCATAGACATCTTATCACAATAAAATCGGAGTTTTGACCAGACAGTTTATACTGGGGACCACGGGATGGTCCATTAAAAGATCCGGAAGATCATTGGAAGTGTTTAATTAATGAAACTGATCCTAGAGTTCCACGGTTGTTTTTTTTTTTCAAAACCACTCATAAATTAATATTAATAATAACTCAAGAAGACGATGTTTTCAAATGGCTTATTGATTAAATTTTGATGTGATGAATTAAAAATATCAACATTGAAGCTAGTCCCTCGTTAACTTGTAACTCCAATGAAACATCTCCAAGAAGTCAAAGGAAATAAGTCCATGAAATCCAAGGAATAATATTCAAAAATTCCGTTAAAAGTGTCTAGAAGTTATTAATTACTTAAATACCACTTAGAAATCATCCATGATAATAAATAAAAAAAAAATGTGTCTATGAGCAGTTCTAAAAAACCATAGAGTGCTTAGATCAGTTTTCTTGACCTATCTACTTTAATGGATGTTCCGGATATTCCAAAGGACCATCCAATGGACCCTGGGGTCCATTTTCCAGTCACAACTCCGAGTTCATTCTGATGAGTTGTCTATTATTTTCCAGAGGAGCGTTCATGGTCTCCAGGGTATGTTTTCCGATCATAACTCCGAATTCATAATTATAAGACGTCTATGAGAGTTTACGAAAAAAAAAACGGAGTTCTTGGATCAGTTCCATGGATTGAGCCTTTTTACGGATGTTTTGGATCTTTCGGAGGACCATCCACTGCACAATGCAAAGCCGTATTAAGGAAGACAAAAATGTTTGCGCCCAAACCGTCAGTTTTAGGTATATAGTGTCTTCGGGAAAGTTTCTTCATATTGTTTGGCCGATCTTTTTATGTTGGTGAAATTAGGGTGGTCCACAAAATTGGAGATTTGAAAATACAAACTTTTTTTTTTATTACCAATGCAATGTTTTAAAAGTTGTAGAACAATCAATTCGAAGCAATTTTGCTCAAGACACCAAATTTCTATCTCTTATGGTCCATGAGTTATGATTTTTTAAGCAAGCAGGTTAGGATGGCCTCTAAAAAACAGATTTCTTCGAATATCTTTTCATAAGTTCATTTCTCGTAAAAACCTTGTTTTGATTACATTTAGAACTTATGATGACGCATATTTTTGCTGAAGCAACCAGGCTGCTATCTTTTTTTTTATATATAGAAAATTAATGGAGATTTTCTTCGAAAAAATGGTTCTATTATAATGACAATGTCTCTAAATGGAGCAAACCGATTTTCAAACTTTTAATTTCATTTAAAATGTCGTGTTTTTTCATTATTGGTGGAAAAAAAACGGTGAGAGCGTTTTTTGTTTAAAATATTTAATTTAATTTTTAAAAATCTTTTTTTTTATCAAAAACTAGCCATAACTAAAGGAGATATCAAATTAGTGACTAAAAATATGCGTCATAAAAAAATCTAAAAGTATTTAGAACAATGTTTTTACGAGAGGTTAGGGTGGCCCCTCGAAAATCGGCCTTCTTTAAATATTGTTTATACGTTGATCACCAATAAAAATATTTAAAGAAAGATTTTCTAGGGGCCACTCTAACCTACTCGTTTAAAATAACCATAAGTCATGAACCATAAGAGATAAAAATTTGATGCCGTGAGCAAAGTTGGTTCAAATTGATTGTTCTACAACTTTTTTAAACACTGCATTAGAATATCTCAAATAATAAAAAAATGTTGAATTTTCAATTCACCAATTTTAAGGACTTAATTTCAAATCGGCTAAAAAATACGAAGAAACTTTCCCCAAGACAACATGTACCTAAAAGTGATGGTTTTGGTGCTTATATTATTGTCTTCATAAATACAGCTCTGCGACCATTGAGCATTGGTCCCAGGGTCAATTTTCTGGTCATAACTCCAAATTAATTCTGATAAGACGCCAATGAGTGCTTTCGAAAAAAGCGGACCTCAAAGCTCAGTTTCAAGAACTGAATTTTTTTTTATGGATGTTCAGGATCTTCCTGGTGAACCATTTCGTGTTCCCAATGGTCCATTTTCCGTCTAAGCGTTCATATTTCAGTCACAACTCCAAATTCATTTTGATAAGACGTTTATGAGTGGTTTCAAAAAATCTGCAGAGCTACAGGATCAGCTTTATGAATTGACCACTTTTACGGATGTTCCGGATCTTCTGGTGAACCATCCCGTGGTCCTCAGGGCCCATATTCCAGTCACAACTCCAAATTCATTCAGATAACACGTCTATGAGTGGTTTCAAAAAAACAACGGAGCTCTAGGATCAGTTTCATGAATTCACTACTTTTACGGATGTTCCGGATCTTACGATGAACCATCCCGTGGTCGTCAGGGCCCATATTCCAGTCACAACTCCGAATTCATTCTGATAAGACGTTTATGAGTGGTTTCAAAAAAACCGCGGAGCTCTAGAATCAGTTTCATGACTTGACCACTTTTACGGATGTTCCGGATCTTCTGGTGAACCATCCCGTGGTCCCCAGAGTCCATTTTCCAGTCACAACTCCTTTTTTTTTTCCTTTTGTTTGTTTTTTTTCCGTCGATCTTGTTTTCCGTGCTGAGCACCAATGCTACCGACGTGCCAGACAGGCAGCTCCCACACCTGGACCCTACCTATCGACCCATCAACTCATGAACCGGGGACCAACGGCTTTACTTCCTATCCGAAGGAAGGCGTGATCAGAGATGTTATGCCTCAGAACATCCCGGCGGCGCCGACTGGGATTGAACCCAGGCCTGCTGGGGTGAGAGGTAATCACGCTTATCACTACACCACCGGCGCCGTAGTCACAACTCCGAATTTATTTATTTATTCATTTATTTCGTCAACCAACGTAGACTAGTACATATTAGAATACAGTTTTGTTTTCTTAAATTTATTTATTTATTTCGTCAACTTTAGACAAAAGGTTAAGTATATTTTTTTCTTTAATAAAAATTAAGCAGTGTCAGCTTTCCTATTTTTTATGAGTTATAATGCCTTATGGAGTCAAAATATTGTTTTAGTTTATGCCGAGACATTGTAAAGTCAATGGTGTCGCAGTATTGATTGTAAGAGGCCATCATGCGGTTTAATGGCCCATATTTTGCATAATTTGTGCGATGATGTTTTATGGCAAATAAATTTCGATTTCGGAGTTGCCGAGTAGGTGCATGGAAATTTAATTTTGATAAAAGTTCTGTGGAGTCAATGCGCTGCGAAACGATATCGTTTACAAATGAAACCATTGCATATTCACGACGCTATTTTAATGTTTGTATGTTTATAAGCATGCAGCGTGCTTCATATGATGGAAGAGGAAATGATGTCCAACCTAATTTACGAAGAGCGTATAATAGAAATTGTTTTTGTACGGATTCTAATCTTTCTTCGTGCGTGATTGAAAAAGGAGACCATACAATGCTGCAATATTCCAGTATTAACCTCACATAGGCGATATATAGTGTTTTAGTTGTGTATGGGTCCTGAAAGTTATAGCAAAAGCGCTAAATCCCTAACTCTTTCACATTTTTCTACATTTTGATTCATTCTGATAAGACGTCTATGAGTGGTTTAAAAAAAACCGCGGAGCTCTAGGATCAGTTTCATGAATTGACCACTTTTACGGATGTTCCGGATCTTCCAGTGAACCATCCCGTAATCCCCAGGGCCCATATTCCGGTCACAATTCCGAATTCTCTCTGATAAGACATTTATGAGTGGTTTCGAAAAATCCGTGGAGCTCTAGGATCAGTTTCATGAATTGGCCACTTTTACGGATATTCCGGATCTTCCACAGGATCAGACTTGTGTCCTACCGGAAACTGAATCGTCCCAAAAGGTGGCCAATTTTCTGCTTAACAACTTGTCAAAAGGCATCAGGAAGTTATATATTCAAATTGCCGTACAATCAGTGTTTGGTCCCAATTAGCTCTAATCCCATATGCTACGTGTATTCGTTGATGCCGGATCGACCGTACTATAGGAATCCAGTGGCATCAGTACTATAGGAATCCGGCAAGAACGAATCCGCACTATAGGAATCTTGACTGTACATCACATGGACAATGCATTCTCTAAAAACTACCCCATTTCAATTCAACTTTAAAGCTCATCAAAACATGAGGATTTTTTTTTTTAAATTTGGATAGATAAAAGATCAGTTCAGAAATGACGGAATTCTGAAACTTTTAGCATTTACAGTATCAGACGTTGGGGGGTTTGATAGTTAATCACCTAATCGAAACGGAAACGTCTCCCCGCTCTTCTAAAGCACACACACTTTTTTTCACCTTCATGCTCCACTTCACCCGAAATCACAGCCAGTTGCATTTGATCTTGAGTGCAAAAAAAAAACTTTCCCATTGACCGAAAACTCATTCCACATGTTGCGTGCTGTAAATACACCAACCTCCTCCGCTTTGTCTCTCGTTCCACGTTGCTATTTTCTAGAAATCTACCAAATATCCGGAAGTGACTTCCGATCCACTTACCAGATCGATAACCGACAAATTGACAATAAAAAAACATAAAAACAAATCAAACTTTTTATCGCTCCAACAATACAATAAAAAAAAACTCTAATCGACTTCTTTTGCTGTCCGTTCTCGGTTCTTCTCCGCAGTCAAGAGGAATCAACATAAGGCGCTGCACTTCCTGCTCTCTGCGGTCTGGGGTGCGACTTGAAGCAAATTACCTACTACTACTCCTCCTCCAAGGACAGCTCGATTCGATGACCTGTGTTTACAACAAGAGTGAGTGCGACTATGCCATTGCTGGTGCTTCGAAGGAGGCTCACATGAGATCGATGGCGACCACGATGGACAAGTACGCGTTAGTGTTTGATGAATGAATAAGTAATGAATGGGAAGGGTATGGCGTAAGAAATACGAGGGGAATAAAAACACCTGTGTCTTTGTTCTTAATTCTCGTAATTATAGTTCATTATAATTGTTACTCTTTCAGCTTGAAACTAGTTTTCGTTAGGGAAAAATTGCGTAGGAGAATTAACCCATATTGATGTGTTGTAATATATTTGCAATGAATTTTAAGAGGATTAATGGTAAAAGCGTTTAGCAAAAATAAAGGTAAGCAACAGTTGAAATAAATATTCAATAATGAACACCGAACTTTGTTATAAAATAATAAGGGAACAATTTTCCTAATTATCGTTTTAAATTTTGAGTTTATTCCATTATCTCCTTAAGACATGATGACATGATTCCTTATGTAACATTTAGTGTTCCTGATTTTATTGAATTAAGTACACTTTAATAGCTTAATGCCAGTTTCCTCTCCTGGGCTCCCTTTTATCACTCTCTGTTTCAATTTGCTGTTTGCTGTCAATGCCCAATTTCTTGCTGTGTTTACTTTAGAGCATTTCCACCTCATAACACTTAAAAAATGTCGGTTTTGTCTAGACACCTTCCGATTTGAATGAAACATTACTCACATGTTCACTGCTAGCGACGCCGGCGGTGTAGTGGTTAGCGTGATTACCTCTCACCCCAGCAGGCCTGGGTTCAATCCCAGTCGGCGCGCCGCCGGGATGTTCTGAGGCATAACATTATTATTACGAAGACGGATAGAATTAAAACGCACCTATTACTTCGCCGTCCTGCCGTGGCATACAAGGTACTGTTTTATTGTACACTGAAGTCATTTTTTCACGGTTTTTTTTTTTTTTAAACGGTTAGTGCCGCTGAGTTGCAATTTACACGGTACGTTTTTAACGGTTTCTTGACAACGATACAACATATCGATTGGATTCTAATCACATTATCCGTTTCAAGCTAAAGGTATGGCGTAAAAAAATCATGATTTTTGGTGTAAATACAGAAATTTTTAAAATATGTTTATATTGTCCATAGCACGAGGGGGGCGACATATCTAAATCTCAAATTTAGATGCTCAATAAATCTCACACTAGCGAATAAATCTTCAAAAAATCTTCTTTCATTTCTCGCATCTACTTGCATCGCGCATCATCTTTTTGCAGGAAATCTTTAAAATCGTGATAAATCTTTTTTCTATCTACTCAGCGTACGCGCAGCTAGCCACAGAAAAACACAATATTTCCTGCATCGTAGATAGAGTCGTCCCCTCGATGTGTACTGCCAAATGGTAAACTTCAAACGTTGAATTTTGAATGTTAAATGTTGAATGTAAAATAAATGTTAAATATGAAACATGAAATGTTGAATGTTAACAATTATATGTTAACTGTGAAATTTTACTATAGCATTATTAAATAATAACGGGGAATTTTAGGTATCTTTCAAAATCTATTCTCCTAATATAATATTAACTATTAAATGTTAACTATTAAATGTTAACAACTAAATGTTAACTTTAAACTTAAACAACTGAATGATTACTTTTAATCGTTAACTACACAGAAAAACATTCTGAATTTTAACTATCGCGTAAAATCTCCCTTCGTTTAATTTTGAGCTTTACTTGGCATAAACAGTGGAATCGTTTACAAGCTTGCATACAATATTCCAAATTTATGCGATATTGCGCTTAAATTTACACGAAATATCGCATAAAGTTATGCCAAATCTAGCGTTAATTTTATGTGCACTATATCTCGCAGAAATTTACATGAATTTTTCGAACGGTGTACTTGTTACGTTTAGTTAAGTTAACGTTAGTTAACAATATAGTTAATAAAACATAAAGCAAAAGTAGAAGGAAAAAGCTTTCAGTTTAGTCTGAACAGCGTAAACAGATGCTGCAGGGGTGCACCGATTGAAAGCGGACTCAATGCTATGGATTATCTTGCACCCGTGAGAGTGCTGAGTGCAGCCATTCAGCTCAGTTTCCGCTGAATCTCTAAGAGAAGAGGTGACAATACGGGGGCGAAAATGAACCACTTTTCTGTCAAACGTGAACCAGCTCCTGATTTGCCGATTTCATGTACGTAAGATAGAGATAGAGATAGATAAAGATAGAGATAGAGATAGAAATAAAAGAGTAAGAAGCCAATTGTCACCTCTTCCTCTAAGCTGAATCTAAAAGAGGAACGAAGCAGACAAAAGGAAAAGTACACAGAGAGGCAAAATCGTTTTGGTTCTCCCGCTGATTAGTCGCGTTTTCGCTGGTTGTCCGTGGAAAAAAATTCGCTTCTGGTGTCCGGAAAACAGTTCCCGGTGCTGAGAAAAAGGAGTGAAAAAAGCAACTCGCGGGTAGTCGCTGGTAGCAACGATAGAAATTTCGGTGGCGAACAACTAGTGCTGCAAGACAACACCCGTTCCGATCGAACTCTGCGTGGCGTTGGAGATACGAATCAGGTAATGGCAGATGATTTTCTGCATGTGCGTCATGATAACCCCATTTGCATTTTGCATGCAGATCGAGGTGCTGCACTCGCACGGAGCAACGGAAGAAAAACTCCCACAACCGGCTGGATTTGACCCCTTCCCAGACGCACACGGGGAAAAAGTGCACGGTGAGTGTAAAATGTACCTTACTCTGGATAGCCCGACTAATACAGCATTTGTTACTGTCTTCCGATAGATCGGTGGAAGATAATTTGCACCGCATCCACCTTCACGCCGTCTGAGGATACAAAACGAACCAGAGAGGGGCACACAAGGCAAATCGTTCTAGCTCCGAACAGATTTGGCACCAAGAAAGGCCTTCGAAAGAGGTAGGCCGTTAAATTTCGTGTGAGATGAGCCTTAACCTAACCCTAGTTTGCCACAGGCCCTTTCTTCTTGATTTTCATCTTTCCGTTTAGTGCGGCAGTGTCCAGTGTGCGACGCGAGGGACGAAAAGCAGAGCGAGACCGTCTGCGGGCACGGTCAACATCCGGGCAGTTGCTAGCCGACCGGGAGAGGATCGGGGAAATCTTCAGACCGATACGACCACCCACTAAACAAGCTGGCACACCAGTGACGGAAGGAGGAGCTGAAACGATTGTGCATACGAGCAAGGACAGGAGTCGAGGGTCAACCTTTCGACCAGTCGGGATCGATACGAGTGTCCTGGTTGACGATCGAAGAGAGACGCCATACGTTCGACATCCAAGTCAGGCGGTGACGGTCCGGTCGACAGAGTAGCTCAAGGAGCGGTCAGCGACGGCCGAAGCAGGCAGCGGTGTATAGGCGTAGGCAATCCGGCTATGCTATGTGAGTGAGGATCAGACGTCGAAACGGCGACCAACGACAGCAGAAGCAGTAGGCGGAAAACTCGAGCGCATACGCCCGGGTTGTTGAAGATCACCGGACGGGCGCTCCGCTCGGTCGGGCTGTTGCGTGTTCGCATGAAGGGACAAGTACGCGATGCGCCCCCACGTCCGACGACAGAATGCATGTCTCCGAACGACATCGATAGCACCGGTGCACCCATAAGCAGCAGCAGCCGAACAACAATGATGGGCCCATCAGTGAGTAGTGAAACCTTTATGTAAATCATCAGCAGTAGAGTAGAAAAGAAAGGTAGCAGGGAGACCTTTGAGAGTCTCATAGTTGAGAGAAGGAGGAGTAGGAGAAGCGCAGGAAAATGGGAGCAAGAATATACGACTGTTAAGATGATTTTCTTGCGTTTATTTGATTTGTTGGTGCACTTGCTATTCAGTGTTTGTGATTCTGTCCGCTCATGGTAGTTTTGGATCTACCCGACCGGGAATTATGTAACATACTAAATGATAACTATTAAGGTGGTGTGTTCAGTAGCGGACTGTATTTAATCACGGGGAATTTCGGAAGGACATTTTGATAGGAAAACACTTAACTTCTGAACTGCACTTATATATTTACGCTGATACTCTAACAATAAAAATTGAACTGCTCGCGACGAACGCTAGTGAGCTTCTTCTTGAACCAATGAATAGCTCGGTTTTGCTCGGTAGCGCCAATCTTCTCCTCTCATTCGGTGCTTTTCAATGTGTTGCCAAATCGATCAAGGTCACATAAAAAGCTCAAATCAAAAATTTTATTCGAGCTGTCATGGCATAGCTCAAAAATTTTCTTTTTTGCAATTTCAAAATCCTTATACCTTCTATAACGTTGTATCAAAATTCCAATTCGATACACAACGTCGGTACGAAGATACTGTGAAAAATAGGAGATCTTGTCTATATAGTTATAAAGGGGATAGAGAAAATAATCGGGACAGGCAGAATTTTGCCAAAATTCAAATGGTATCAACTTTTTGAAAAATAAACCAATTTTAAAAATAAACCAAACGGATGCATTTGGCGGGAAATTTATTGCAGTTTAAAAATTTGTGGTGACCGAAGATGTTCCAGATTTTTGGGGGGTATGACATAAAACTGATTTTTTCTACGCTTGTAGTTTTTTTTTTTCTGGTGTGAACATATATTTGAATTCATAGTTTTTCCTGATACAAGAAGCAATTCTGAATTCAATGCTGAGTACAGATCCAAGATCTGTTGAGCAACAACCATCAAATCAGTTCCGGTAAAGTGACCAGTAATGTTAATCTTTTGATTCACGTCAATATGGTTATCAATCATCATGCGCGATATCTTCAAAATAATTTTCAACGTCACAAGTTGCAATGGTCAACCCATGGCCAATGGAGCAGTTTCTGTATTTTCCGAGGGAAGTGATCAATTTATGACATGACAGGAACCATATCAATATGGGTGTCAAACTTCAAGATTTTGCAAGCCAATGTCAATGGTTTTCATGTGCAAAACTTGCCA